AAACTCCAAATCCATTAGAGCACAACCAGATAGTAATTTTAGAAAAGATTGCAACTGACTCATCCTACACTCCACAACCCCCCCCTCAGTTTTTTCCTTTAGTAACCCAATTTCATTGAAGTCCTCGATTAGGGATGGCAATGGATAACCTACCCTGTGGGTATCCATGGAGATCCAACCCAAATACATGGGTTTTCCCCTTTTTTTCTTATCCATTGGGTAGGGTAGGTGATATTCTTTAAATATCCATAGGGGATGGGTTGGGGATGGGTACCCACTAATTTCCCCATAAGGGGAATGGGGATGGGAAAAATTTATTATAGGGGAATGGGGATGGGGAATTAATATCCACCCCATTGCCCCCCATTGCCATTCCTATCCTCGATACATAACCAAGGATATTGATTTTCAGATGCCACTTTCGTAAACTGATCCCAGAATCTCCAACAAACTGATTTTTGAGAAGGAGCATAGACAAACGATGTAGCCCAACAACAAGAAGAGCTATTGGAGGATACCACTCCTCTTATTATAAACTTTGACATACCACTTCTGAGTAAAGAAGAGATGCCTTCGAATTCTTTCCAGAAAAAAATCAATTTATTCTTGGTTTCCATAAAGAAAACCACAGTAGGACGATGGGTTGCTACCAACCTTTAGAGGATCTGTACTATTGGGGGTCACCCATCCCTTGACCAGTGACGGGGTAGAAAATTAATTTAGAGGGGACACTTACTAATTATATTAATTTTTACAAAAATATTTCACGTAATTTTTTTATGATTGATTACAGGAAACATCAAAAAAAAAAATAAAATATTTATAATCATGAATAATACAAAAAAAAAAAAATGGATATAAGTCTTAAAATAAATTATATAATGATAAATTATTTTTTGATACAAAATTTGATTAAAAATTCTATATAATGGTAATACCACGTCATCATTGGTATGTAACATCACCCACTAATGATAAATAAACGCATAAAGAGTGAACCTCACATGTCAAATGTAATCAATAATCTAATAAATTTCATATCTTTATAGTGAGATTACTTATACTCGCATATCACTAATAATGACATCGTCGTTACATTCAAAAATTTTCATAACTAATATGATTTATTTATAATAGTCTCTTCATTTTCAATCAAAATAACCGTTATTGTTTTCATAATTTTTAAAATGTCATTGACATTTCACTCTAATAATATTTTTGTAATTTTTTATTTTAATTTTTTTTTATGTTTGCAAAAAAAAAAAAAAAAAAAACCAAAAATCTAGGGGGCACGTGACCCCCTTGGTCACATGCTCCCTCCGCCACTGTCCTTGACAGTTCTAGCTGAGAATCAACATGGAGTTTGTGGCTGTTTAAGGCTAGCCACCAAACCCCAATTCTTAGATTCATCATGAATATCGGAAGGGAACGTGCTTGGAACTTGTGAACAGCACTTTTCATATTCCAATAGGGCCAAAAAAGACAAAGAGCAACTCAACTGTCCATTATTTAGAACCAATTTCTCAAACTCAACTGTAACTTTGAACAGGCCAAACTTCTCCAATTTCTGACCTTTTCTAGTAGCTTTGATACCTTTTCCCTTCGATTTACGACTGGAATGCGCTGCAAATTCCTTTATACTGTATTTGGTTGGGAGATTTGGGAAGAAATTTAAAAAGCAAAAGGGAAAAGGTGTGTGAAACTATGTGAAATATAGACATGATATATTCACATTTCACCTACTTTTTCTATTTCCTTTTCCAAATCCCTCCCCAAATCCTCCAACCAAACACAGCATTAGGGACAGAGGCGAAGAGATGTGTAAGGGCTAAATTGGGACCTTTGTTAATTCATTACTCTTGAACAATTTAGGGCTCCTGTTTTCTTTTCTTTATCAGACACTTTCCTCTTCAGAGTAAGCCAGTTGAACACGGTTGACATGCACTCGTCTACCACTCTAGTGCTCAAATCATTATGAATAGGGCTTGAGTTTGGGTTGACCTCCTCTATTTGAATTGGGCTGGTCTTACCTTAATAGCCAGCTGTGTCACATTCTCATTATCTCTTCTGTGGGAGAAATTATCTTGAGTAGTTAAATTGTCCTTATTTACCTCATTGTTTGGCAAGTTTCCACCTGGCACCTCAGGGGTATATTCTGCAAAAACAGTACCTTTACCATATGCACTAGCCATTGTTGTACTGCGAATTTCCACCACACTCGCACTCTTGTCACGCACCTGTGAGACTGGTTGCCCTTGTTTGTTCATTGGTGGCCTGTGCAGAGAAACTTTGATTCTGGTTTCTATTTCATCTGTTTGTTTCTTATAGTACTCCACCGGTGATCCAGAGCTCCGGGCTATCCTAGTTTTCAACTCAGGCCCATATCCAGAAATTCTTATTTCCTCACTCGTAACAAACTTGCAACTGTTACGGTCATGGCTTATTCTATCACAATCAAAACAAAAATCCAAGAGTTTCTCTATTTTGAACTCAATGCATGGATCTTTTGCTTCCCTGGGAGAGTTACCACTCTTATGAAGCAAAAAAACCTTTAGGTAACGATTTGGTGACGTCAAGTTCTACCGTTACAACATATAAGAATTTTAGAGATCAAATTTGTTGATTTTTAAAAGTGAAAATTTTGTTATAAAAGACACTTAGGGACCAATTTTTATTGTTGTGACGAAAGTCACTAAAAGGTCGTCTCAAAAGTAAAAAAATAAAACTTTTAACGACAAAATTTTGAAAATATCACTAATAAATACATTTTTAGAGAAAAAATAATTTGGTTTAAAAAAGATTTATATTTTAAGACAAAAAATTTGACTCTAAAAAGATAATAATTCACTATTAATATCTAATTTTCGTTATTAAAAATATAATAATAATAACTTTCATAACAAAAATATTTAATTCTTAAAAAATAATTTTATTTCTAAATTTTGATGTCTATAACTTTAATTTAATTAATTTATTTTTTTAAGTGCACCCGTATGCCAAGGAAACTTGTATGTAGAAGCAAGCCTTCACAGTGCCCTTCAATTCAACCCTTAAAAACGAATCAGGATCCCTTCCTTTAATTTTTGACTTGACTTCTTAGAGCATCTCCAATGGAGCTGCTATATCAGTTGTCAAAGCTAAAAATTGACAGAAATGGCAAAAATCAATCTCCAATGGTCTGCTATTTCTCTTGCCAAAGATGGCAGATGCCATATGTGTTCTCAAATATGGCAAGTGAAATAGCAGATGCCAACCTTGCCAGATTAGCAAAATCCAACAGAAATTGGCACCAAATTCAGTTGAGAACACAACAGAATTAATCCAGTAGGGAAGCTATTTTCCAAAATCAAACCCAATTTTTACAATCAAGCAAATTTCACATGAAGACAGATCGTGTATTTATATATATATGATCAAACCCATGAAGACAGCTTGTATATATATATGATCAAAATCCAACCCAAAAAATATATATATATATATATATATGATCAAACCCATGAACCTCTGCTGACTGTATATATATATAAATATGTGATCAAAATCAACCCCAAAATATATATATATATATATATATATGATCAAACCCATTAAGACATAGCAAACCGTATATATATATATATATGATCAAAATCAAACCCAAAACATATATATATATATGTAATATGTATATATGAAGACAGATATTTTTTATGGAGACCAAAACACATAAAAGACAGAATTTTTTGATGGAGATCAAGACAAATCAATATATATATATATATATGCAGACAGATCAAAACATATATATATATATATAGATGAAGATCGTACCAGAGACGGAGAGTACACAGATCGGAGGGAGACAGAGTCAAACCAAAGAGAGGGGGTTCCGATCTTGGAGGAGAAGGGGGAGATCGGGTTCCGATCATGGAGGAGAAGGGGTTCCGATCTTGGAGGAGGCGGTTTCGATCTTGGAGGAGAAGGGGAGATCGGGTTCCGATCCTGTGCTCTGTTTGGTTTGTGCTCTGTTTAATTTCGTCCATGGAGGAGAAGACAGTGAGAATGAGAGGGAGATGAAGAGCTGTGGAGGAGATGAAGAGCTGTGGAGGAGAGTGAGAAGAGACTGAGATAGATGTATGGCAAAATAGGGATGGGTCAGTGTAAATAAAAGAGCCGTTTGGGCTCTGTTTGGTTTGTTCAACCAAAAAAAAAAAAAAATTAAAATTATTTTTTACAAGGCTCTTTAAACGGCTATTTGCCAAACAGTAATAAATTTAATTTCTATAAATTGAAACCTTTCCTTCTCAAATAATTTTTAATTTTTTTAATTTTTAATTAATCAAATAATTAAATTAATCAAATAATTTTTTTTAATTTTTAATTAGCCAACGGTATCGGTCTATAAATTAATCAAATAATTTTTTTTTTCAATTTTTAATTTTTTATATTTGTCTAGTTGGAAATAATATAAATATATAATTTTTTTAACAAACAGGTAAAAAGATGTCACAAAAAACAAGAAAATAAACAAAAATAAAATCACAAAAAACCTATATCCAAACAACACCTACAAAGTTGGAGGAAAAGTTGGTTGAGATTTGTCAAAAATAGCAAACAACCATTGGAGCACCATTGCTATAATTTGACAAAATAATACTATTCATTGTCAAATTATAGCAATAGCAACCCCAATATAGCAACAACCATTGGAGACGCTCTTACTTGCTGGATTATTCGACTCATTTTTAGGTCTAATTTTGATGATTTAAATTATTTATATTTTAAAATTTATTGAGTATATTATACTTATAAAAATCAAGTTAATTGGACATAAGAAAATATGTATTTGAAAAACTGTTTATTAAATTTTTAAAAAAAATATTTTTAATTTGATGTTCCAAACATATATTTTTTAATATCTAATTAACTTAATTTTTTACAAATATAATATATTCAACAAATTTTAAAATACGAATGATTATAACCATTGAAATTAGGCCTAAAAATAACCCCGATAATCCAGATAGGAAGTCAAGCAAAAAATTGAGGTCGTGATTCCTTAAAAACGGCCCAATCCAACCAACCTCTTCCCTATTATTTCTCCGTTTGTTCTTGTCATCTTTTCCGAGGGTAGACCAAGTAAAATCCATCTGTGCCACAGGAATACCAAGCTCCAACGGTTTGAGGAGCATCATCAAAGGTAAAAAGAAACAAGTTGTCTCTCGCTTTCCAAGCCCCATGAATGATCCAGGAGACGGCTTGAAATTTTCCCCAGCAAACATCAACAAGCTCGATAGATATAATCCAAATCAGTCTCCATTTTCACCTTAGCAGAAGAAATGCTCCCAAATAACTAGCAAAAGACGAAACTAAAGGAAAGATCTACAGGAACGTATTACCGACATGGAGAGAGAGAGAGAGAGAGAGAGAGAGAGAGAGAGACTGACACTGTTGTCAGTTCAAATCCGATTCAAATTCGATTATCGCGTCGCTCTTCCATTCCAATCTCTCGACTCGAGCATATTTTCTAGGGTTTTAATTCCTGCTACATCACCACCAATGGTTGAATGATGGACGGAAGAGATGTCTCTGCCTGCTCTTGCTCTTTTCGAACAGCTTCGGAAAATTCATCTAATGGCTTCCCAATCTGGCGTCGTTCAGGTAATTCCATTGTTTGTGTTATAATAAATATATTTTATGTATGTACGCGTATCTACTAGGTCGCCTTTCACGAGGTTTGCTTTCTCTGCTAACTAACGAGATAAAAGATGATAGAATATCTTTTTTTTTTTAACAGTAGTTTTTAAGCTTTCACAATCCTGAAATTGTTGTTTTTATTTATTTATTTTTTAATTCGCAGACTAATGAGATTTATTTAGAATAACAATGATTCATCCCACTAAAAACACCATCACTAATAGCACTAATGTATTAAAATAACAAAAAAAATAAAAGTGACGTGTATCACCATCCAATCATAATATACCATATAGGAAAAGTGAACCCCACCATGTAGTTGTAACAACCTCTCCAACTCATGCACATAGATTAATGCTTGCGACGCCAAAATGGATGACTCATGACTCCGAATCGATGTGGACAAGGCATGTGTGCATTATTTTTTTTTCTTTTTTTAATTTTTTTCCTCTGTCTGTCACAAAGTGCATGGGGTCGTGGGGGTTGGGTTTCGTGGGGTCTGTATCAAAACCCTTGACACATATACATAGTACACTTGCATGGGAGGCTAGGAAGCATGGGTGCAGGTACAAGTGCGGGTACGTCGATACGGTAAAACTCAAAAAAGTATGATATGGGTACGGTTACAGTACGCCAATATATATTTTTTTATTTTTATTTTATAATTGTGGTTAAGGAATTCAACTTACAAATTAAAATCAAATATCAAAATTAAGTAAATTTTGAAAACAAAAGCCAGTGTTTCTCAACAACACTTCTGATGAGAAGACATTAATGAATTGGCTTATAAGTTTTAGTGATTCCAAGAAGTAAATTTTGAAAACAAAGCCAGATTGTTCTCAGCAAAAACATGTACAATTCATTCATACAGACAGAGAGGACTGCAGAGAAATATCAAAATTGCTAATTTGCAAGGGTGCAAAAAAAAAAAAAAAAAAGAAAGAAAGAAAGAAAGAAAGAAAGAAAGAAAGCAGAGAGATGAAGAACACTCGCCGGAGGGAAGACGAAGAAAGGAACAGAGAAGAAGAAGAAGAAGGCCACTTGCTGATCTGCAGAAAAAAATGAAGAAATGAAGAAAAAGCAGAAGAAGAAGCAGATAAAGACGAAGATGAAGATGAAGAACACTCACCGGAGGGCTTCGTTTGGTTGCGTCACCGTCGCCGGAGGGCTTTGAAGTGAAGAGATGTTGCTGTCGCTGAAGAAGAAGAAGAAGACGACGAAGAAGACCTCCACCGTTCTCTTTGCTGTTGCTGAAGTGAATAGATGCAAAGAAGGGACAAAACCTAAGTTATATACACTGTGTTTTTTTAACTTTTTTAATAAAGAATATAAATAAATTACTCCGGTACCCCTAATTGTCTTATAAATTTGATTTTTGGCCCCGGCGTACCCGAAACATACCAACGGCGTACCCAATTGAACCAAACGTACCGGACTCCCTTTTGCCGTACCCGACACATGTGCAGCTGTACCGGTACACGTACCCGCACTTGGTAAGTACTTGGTACTTGTGCGGCACTATTTTTGGAGTACCCGTACTTCATTGATGGGAGGCAATGATTCGTTTGTTATAAGTATAATCGTTTCATTGAATTTTTTTCTCTACTGTGAACCTTCCATGTGTTAATTAGTGGTTGGATAGGTAGTTATATTTATGTAGTGGGGCTTACCCTCCTATGTGGTGCTTTAAGATTGGTTGGTAATATTACGTGTCAATAATGATGTGGTATCACCGTTATATTGAAGTTTGACTCCAGTTGTCGAGCAACAAGTCTTATTTTGTGTTTAGATATCATATCAGGTTGCTACTAGACAACCATCGAGAATTGGAACCATTGTGATTATTCAAGTGTGCAAATATAGAAATTCATTATCTTTAAGAGGGCCACTATGGCATGTTGCAGGCATTTTTTTACAACCAATGGGAACACTTTGAAATATTAGTCTTTTGGAACACTTTGATTAGTCTTTCCAGAATATTTTGATGATACAACCTTAGTTGTTCTGAATGCCCAGGGTTACTTGGGCAAGGGTTCCTAGCTACACTAAGATTTGGGCAATATTTTTGTTTACTTTTTATATATCGTAGTTGCTTTTGGTGTCTATTGTTGGTTGTGATGCATTTATTTATTTTGTTGTTCTAACTATATTTGTGAGCTTTCTGGTTTACTTGTGCATTAGAAATCTATTATCAGACAAAAATAACAAATACAATGCTGGAAAATGGTTATGATGTAAAACTTTTTCCCAAAATTTGAGCTAATACAGGGTCGGTTTTTAGAATTTGACATTCTGTTTGTAAATTTCAATTTATTTTTCAGTTTCCTGTTTCTGTTTCGTTTGTCCAGTTTCTGTTTTGTTACGGTTTTGGATTCTGGTTTAATTATCTGTATCACACACAGTACAAATAAAATTGTCCGACATACAATTTGGTAGATTACCAGCATATACTATCTGGGAAGTATTAGGAATTACAGCCTTACAATATATGGTTGGATCCATGTTTCTTGTGGCCAATGGCTATGATATATAACACATGAAAGATTATATGCACATGTACAGCTTCTATAAACCGACCCTCTGTTCTATGTTCATTTTGCAGGGAATTTCTTGTCTTGAGTCCTTTTTAGGGTGTAAATGGAGCGAAAGCAACCAGCGCATTGTGTCCTCCAAATCCGAGTGAGTTAGAGATAGCTATTACATATAAAGAATAACATGATAGATTAGTTGAAAACATACATATGTGGGAGGAAAGGAGCTATAAGTTTCATCTTGTTTAGAGAAAATCCTATTGTAATGCATTATAATTTTGTTTCTTTGGTTCATGTTTTAAAAATTGACATGTGTAATGTGTGGTTGATGGTATTGTGTGTTCAAATTTGAAAGCAACCTGTAGGATGAGTAATTCTCTTGTTCTCTCTCACACACACATACATAACACCAATGGGAATTTACTTTTTGATTTGCCTGGATTATAGAAATTGAGGAAATTATTTATAGGTCTAAAAAGCAGTTGTTGCTGAAGTTAAAGAAGCATTTATTTAAAACTACACTAATCTTTCTAGAAATAGAAAATGATTTGGAGGTGCCTTAATTTCTAAGTATTAAATATGTAGTGATGGGAACATGCCGGGGAAGTGTCTAAAATACTTTGTATTAGGAAACATCTGTTAAATGCCTTTGTAAGTAATATTGGGCTCATTTCCTTAAATTCTTATACATTCAAGATGCTTTTCAGTCCATTCCAGGGATATTCATTGTATTTTTGTTTTGGGTAGGGCTTCTCTCAAATTCACTGTTCGGGCGGCACTGCCACGGGTTAGGTTTCGATGATTTGAACTATTCATTTTGTAAGGCCATCCATATATATCATCCATGGAAAAAATTAAGGCGATCCGATAATTATAACCTTTTCATTTTCTCGTGTGTGTCTCTGAAAAAATGGATGGTCTATTTTTTAAAACACACTTGTCCATTTTTTTCGGAGACAATTGCTATCAAATGAAAAGGGAATGATTATTGGATCGACTTAATTTTTTCATGAATGATATACATGGAGGGCCCAAAATGAAGGTTTGGATCATTGAAATGGGTGCCCAAACGGTTCTCTCAGGTTTAGATTCGAACTTGAGAGAAACCTAACCCTTTTGTTTTCTATACATTTCTTGTGACAATTGATACTCTAGTACTCATTTGAACAAAGTTTCTCTTTAGATATTGTTATAAATTTAAACTTATGTAATCTATTTGAAATTGTTTCTTTGTTTTTCATTTATCAAATAAATTGATTGGACATGAGGCTTGATTTAGTTTGGTTTGTCCCTTCTGTATGTCATGCCATATTTTGCTGCCTTCTCTCATTCTATTTGTTTTGTTTTGTTTTTTGTTTTTTATTTTATATTACTATTGAAGTTTTATCCTATATGCTAGGAGAACACAATCATAACAACTCCATAAAATGTTATTTCTTCTTGCTTGGGGAATTTAATATGCACATCCTGGTAGAGTTTGATATATATCTTCAAATAGGTTCAAGATCTTTTTTGTCATTAGGAGCACACTGTTATACCATGGTAGACCTAACAAAACAGTGCTCCCATTTCTGTGCGTGCTATGACAGTTTGATAGAGGGGTGTGGCAAACAAAATGATGCTATCTCATTGAAGCAACGTGCTCTAGCTGGTGTTTTCCTTCTTACATACCCTTCCCAAATACGACCTACGGCTTAAGTATCTATATGAATGAATATTGGAGTGAATTCTTTGTGGAAATTGCTTCCAAGCACATGCCATGATGCTCTGTTTGCATGTATTTCTCTGTTGCATTGTGTATAGAAATATTTGAAAATAATTTATACATACCGACATTGACATCATGCTTTATCTTGGTATTCGGAATGGTGTCAATAGTAACCTCAGGCTCCAAGTTCTGCAGCAAAATACATACTGAACTAAGCAATGAATTTTGGAAGTAGTTAAACTACTTTCAAAAGAGATTAGGAGCCAAAGTTTTTCGTGAAATACGTATTGGTTTATTGTTGGGTGTAGCCAACCAGTCGTGATTGCTCTTATAGTTGCTATGGCTTCTAATCCAGCTGCAGCTATTGCTGCCCGATCATTGACTGGAAAAGTCCACCATGTTAATGATGTTGGTATGGAAATTAAAATGGATTATATTCTAGTAGTTTGGAAATGACTACTGTATGATGTATCAAATGTTTCATGAATTGGAAATTTCAAAACCAGTTGGTGGCACGGGTTCTTACCTTGGTTCCATTCATTTTGATTCCAGATGTGTCCTTGAAAACCTTTTTGATGGCATTGATCTCCGCTAAATCTCCCTTGATCGTGGACGTTGCATGAGCATTTATGTAGTTCACCTGTGTTTCGTTATCATAAGTCTTTGCATTAGGATTGAATCCCTAAATAGTAGCCATTTTTTTAATGCTAAAGGGATCTGATGAATATATCAGGGAACTCTTGAATAGGAAGTAAGATTATGGCTCTGATATCTATCTGTTGGTCCCAAATTTATCAGAAGGGTCATAAATGAACTTGCAGACCTCTTCTGGCGAGACTCCACCATTTAGCAGGCTCTTGGTTATGCAAGCTGAAATTCCAAGTCCATCTGAACAAGGATCTGTTGGGTGATGAGCATCACATGTAACGGCGCCTCCCAGGTATTCTGCTATTATTTTTGCTCCTCTTTTGTTTGCGTGCTCCAAGCTCTCCATTACCTTGTTTTTAAGTTGACAAAATTTAGACTTCCCGAGTATTAATTTTCAGACATAGAATGCAAAATGGAATATACAATGTTTATATGTACATGTACATAAAAGTATTTATGCCTATGGATTGGGTACACGGATGGATTCATTTCTCTTTATGCATGTCCTCGGCCTGTTCTATTGCTCATTAATGTCATAAGGTGGTCTAATTATTACGTACTACCAACAGTCTAAAACACATACTAGACATACAGACAGTATAAGGTAGGTTGTTCATGAATAATATATACATCATGAATAAACCACATTTATGTATAAAGTGTGAACATATGAATACAAATTTGTTCACACAAGTGTGAACAATACACAACTCCTAATTGGTTGAACAAATGAGCTGGTCCCATCATAAGCTCTAAATTATCCAGTCAAGTGTTGTGTATTGTTCACATTTAGTGTGCAAACATGAACATGTATATATGTTAGTGTTACGTTGCTTTACCAGCAGACCAAAGCCTTCACTCAGGACAAAACCATCACGATATTTATCCCATGGTCTTGAAGCTGTTTGGGGTTCATTATTTCTGCTTGACAATGCTTTACAAGCCATAAACCCAGAAACACCACAGGGAAGTACTCCAGCTTCAGTACCACCGGCCACCATGATATCTACCTCCCCTGTTTTGATGTGATTTGCTGCAGCATAAAAGCAGTAATTTGCACTCGAACAAGCTGTTGTGATGGAGTAAGTTGGCCCCATGAAGCCTGTTTCCATGGCTAACAGTGTTGAACCCACATTCGTAGTAGAGTATAGGAATGAAGCTTTCTCATATTCTTGTTTAAGATCAGCATCAACTGTACTGGAGCATGACCCAATACCGCCACAACCTGATCCCACTATCACTCAAATTCTTGATCTTTCCATCTGTCATACATAAAGAACTTCACCATTGGTAGTAAGACTTTTAGAGCCATGTATGGTACGAAATGTGGGACAATCATGAAGGTCAAAAGCTATGAAAATTGAGCAAGAAACTAAACTAGGTGAAAAAACATTGCATAGATAGATGAAGAGAAAAAGAGAGAACGGGATCGGAGGAGCTGGTTTTGGTGGAGGGTGAAAATACGATGGTAGGAGCTGCTTACAGTTTCAAGGACTTGAGGACTAAGGTTGGCTTCTTGGAGAGCTTTCTTTGTTGCAACCAGACAATACCTCCAGGAGTCATCAAAATGTTGATCTTTAGTTGTATCGATGTAGCCCTCTGCAGAGAAATCAAGTACCTGACCAGCAATCTGGACAGTGTAGTCGGAAGCATCGAACTTGTCGATTAAGCTGATCCCACTCTCCCCATTGAGGAGCTTGTTGTAGAATGAATCCACATCATTACCAAGCACTGAGACAAGTCCCATTCCTGTAATGACAATTCGTTTCTTTGGATCTTTTTGGAGCTGAGATGGTAGAGGAAGCTTTGGCCATAACTTCTCTGTGATTTTGTGCTGAGTATGAGGAAAGGCCAATGCAAATAAACCCATAAAAAACATGGCAACAAGAAAAAAGGACATACATATTAGCATGCTATGAAGCACGAGTATGGGTACTGGTATTGGTATGACATGGGTACGTCGATACGGTAAAATGCAAAAAAGTAGGGTATGGGTACGACTTGGTACACTTGTAAAAAAATATTTATTTTTAATTTTGAGTAATGTAAAAATGAATTAAATGGTTTAATTTGTTAAGATTCAACCTATAATTAACATTTAATACCAAAAGTAAATGTATAAATCAAAATTAAATGTCAATATAAACCAAACCAAACCAAGCCTTAAGTCCCATCAAATGGGGTCGGCTACATGAATCATTCTTCTCCACGCGGCCTTATCAAAAGCTATTTCGTTAGTCAAATTAAGTAGATCCATATCTCTATTTACAATGCTAACCAACGTTAATCTAAGCCTACTCCGTCCCCTAACACTTCCATCTGCCGTTACAGCATCGCATCTCTTCACTACTGCATCTATTGGTCTCCATTGAATATGACCAAACCATCTCAATCGATTTTCTCTCAACTTATCTTTTATTGGTGCTACTCTTACCCATTCCCGAATACATTTATTCCTAATTTTGTCTTGTCTAGTCTTGCCACACATCCACCTTAGCATTCTTATCTCAGCCACACTCATCTTATCTACATGTTGTTTCTTGGTTGCCTAACACTCTGTCCCATACAACATCATTGGTCTAATAGCTGTTTTATAGAACTTACCTTTAAGTCTAGTGGGTATTCGTTTATCGCACAGTACCCCAGACGCACTTCTCCATTTACACCATCCCGCCTTAATCCTATGCGCCACATTCACATGAATCTACCCCGCTGTTGTGATAATCGACCCTAAATAACGAAAATGTTCACTCTTAGGCAGTTCTTGATTCTCAATCTATACTTCTCCTCTACTTTCATTGTTATTGTTACTAAATTTACACTCCATGTACTCTGTCTTAGTTTTATTTATCCGGAATCCTTTAGATTCAAGAGTTTTTCTCCAAATCTCTAACTTTGTATTAACTCATTTTCTAGTTTCATCCACTAGCACTATATCGTCTGCAAAAAGCATACACCATGGCACGCCATATATTAAACAATTTACAAACCATAGTTTAATTTTAAAATCGTGCTAAACATAAAACTAAAAACAAAAAAGAAATCTAGTGAAAGGAGTTTTATCTCTATAGTAGAAGAAAATATTGTTTTAATTGATGTACGGTATGGCTTGGGTATATATTGGGTATATATTAAGCATATCTGGGTACACCAAAAATTAAAAAGAAAAAAATTGGGTACGTGTTTCGTGTACTCGGTACGTATGCAGACGCACCATATGAGGTATCATACGTCAGTAAGTATCTGGTATGGGATACGGTATGTTTTTCGAAATATTCATGCTTCATAGTTAGCATGTATATTTGATTTGAGAGTGCCATATCTTTTTTCTAACTGGATGATTGTTCTTAGAATACTATGTTTTTTGCTCTACTATGAACACATAAACAAGACACAGGAAGTACACTGACCACTTATTGGTTGGTGTGTGACTTGTGAGTGGTGACTGCACTTTCTATGCCCGATTTTGTGTCCCTATACTTTCTGCTATATTTGTGGCCATGTATCCTATGCACCGATACACACTGACACCCTTGATCTTACAATTTCCATGAATTTTAGGGTGAAATAAGGAAGAAATAGAAAAAGAAAAGGTAGAAGCATAAGGAAAGTGAAAACACCTCTTAGGGTGAAATAAGGAAGAAACAGAAAAAGAAAAGGTAGAAGCATAAGGAAAGTGAAAACACCTCTACCTGGAGAAGTGATGGTCCCAGATGGCCTATTAATCCTGGGTGAGTACCCTCGTTTCCTGTGTCTGTCCATGGTTCTGAATGGCAAAATGGAGGATGAGAAACAACTACTAGTAATGCTCATCCCTGCCATATCTGTCAAACCTCTCTTTCTTATTCTTTTCTTCTTTGAGCTGTGACAGCTTGAATCTATATATGCAGTGTGAGTATCTATATATGCATGGAATCAAGTATGTCGTACACTTAGGAACATTATGGTCATATGTCAAAAGTGTCACATGAACTCAGTCTCCTATTTCTCTTGTTCTAAATTTCCTTTCTGTTACACAATGAGGTCTCTTTGACCTAATTGTACGGTAGACGGGAAATTTATAGAGTAGAGGAAGGGCCAAATGATCGGTATTCATGTGTACTTTCTTTTTGTTCCGTAGATAGTTAATTATTAGAAGAGTTGGTCACACCAAAATCTTTCAATTATTAGCAAATGTCACTTTACTTTCCTTATATATAAATCTGTTCATTTTAAAACTTTTAGTAGGTCATTTATACTATTTCAATAGTTGAGAGTTTCAAAATTTAAGATTTTATAGATTAAGAGGGTAAGATGATATTCACTAATAGTTGAAATAGTCTTATTAGAATAAATTTCTGGGGTGACCCTTGCAACCATAGTTTGCTTTTGGATCAAGAATTTAGATGCAGATTTGGAATTTCTCTCTACTTTTTTGTTCATTTTTTTTAAATTTCTACCTAAATTTATGATCCAAATACAATTTAAGAGTTACATGGAAAAATCATCGTTTAAGATAGTCGCTAAGTCGTGTGCTTTTTTAGATGGGTGCTAAGTTGTGTGTCTGGGTTGGCTCGAATTAGACATAAGAATGGAGTGTAAGCTAAGAGAAGTGTATTATTACATTAAAACACAAGCATGTGCTGTGGTTGACCCTGGGTTAAGTACAGACTTGGCTATTGTCTCCCACAATCCATATATATGACAATTAAATCATAAAATGATCTACAAATTAAAATACATTTTCTTACGGATAGTTGACTTCGTGATCAAACTTTAATACAGCATCTTATGATAGGCACTTTGAATTGTTAAATTATAGAAAAATGACTGGTAGCTCGAAATCCCCAGGCTCGAAAATGGCTCGAAATCAAAACGTCGTCGTTTTCATTTCGATTTTTTTTTTTTTTTCTCTTTTATCTGTGAAACGCAAGACGAAAGGGAGAAAGAGAGGAAAGGAGGGAGAAAGAGAGAGAGGAGAGAAGAAAGAGAGAGAAAGGGAGAAAGGGCCGATCTGATCGTGTCTTCCTTCCTCTTCCATGATCTGATCTTCCTCTTCCACTCCGCCCTCGCCATCACTGGCGACTGCCATCACGGCAGATCTGTTTTCTCTATTTTTTTTTTTCTGGATTTGAAGATGAAAGAAAAAATTAAAAAAAAAAAATTGTTGATGAAGATGTGTTCATGAAGATGTTGTTCTTGATTTTTTTTTTAAAATTTTTTATTCTAGTAGATCCAGATCTGAAGGTAAAGGAAAAAAAAAAATATATTGGCTGATCTGATCTCTGTTCTGTATGTTGTTGTTGTTGATGA